TGGCTGGATGTGGGAAACTGCTCTGGAATTTCAGATTAGGCAGTTGGCGCTGGAGTTTCTATGTCTGGGGCTGCGGGAGCTTCGGATTCCGGTGGATACAAGTCTTGATCTGCAGAACCTATTGGGAGCCTCATGGCTACACAATTCAGCCTACACCATTTGGAGTGAAGCATGGCTGTGGATCCCGATGGAACACCGATCATCCTACATTGCCCGCACTTACAGCATTGACCCCATGTTTGCCCACAGCACCTTGGAAGGCGTCTATCAGGCCCTCATCGGCAGGCCCACAGTGCTGGAGTGCATGGACTAAGCTACCAAGACGAAACAGCACCTCCGAAGGCAGCCGAAGCACAGTCTTAAACCCGACCGTTTCCTCCCTGAAGCTTCTTTCGCTGGCCGTTGTACTAACATGGACCAGCTGGACCGGTGGTCTCATACCCCCTGGGGGAACCCTCGACCTCGACATCCAATCNNGTCCCTATGCATGGAAACGTGTAGTGAACCCCACTGGGAGGAGGTTCCCCTCCGCCAACCCTAATCCCGTGCCTCCTGAATGCTCCAGCGAATCGACCCCCTTCCATGCGAACACACTAGCCTTTTGGCCCAGGTTGGTGCCTCACCTCCAACGTCAGCAGGCCAGGCAGGAATGTCAGTCCCCTGAACTCGGTATCTCTACATCCAGCAATGAGTTGACAGTGTGGAGGTTCCCCTCCGTGTGCATCTGCATCTGCGTGAGAACACTCTACTCGCTAACTCTTCATGTCAACTGCTTAGGAGGTTCCCCTCCGATACCGCTCGGCAAGTGTGAACGTGGCAGGACAGCGCCGGGCATGGCTACGGCCGTGCGGCCGCTCAAGGGCTCACAAGGACCATGGTGCACCGGCGTGCATGTTCCGCATGTTCCGCATGTCCTGCAGTGCATGGCCGTCTGGTATCTACCCCCGTCCTGCCAATCACACCTCAGCAATTCGCAGCCGCACCTCCGATGCTCTTTGTGGCCCTCTCTCAAAGCCACCCAAGAAGGAGGTTCTAGAACTGCTCCATGGGCGGACATCTTGGAGAGCATCCAGCTACCAAGCAGCTTGCAGAGCTGGACGTGTGAGAACGAGCCCCTGCTGCCCAGCAGCCGCCGAAGTCTGCCTCTCAGCCTTCCGTTCCACCAGCACCTGGAGGGCATCTGGCCACACAGCAGTCTGCAGAATATGCCGCGCGAAAAGACGGAGCGCGACTACAGAAGAGAGGCTGCTAGGCCGGATAAATACACCCGGCAGCTGATGAAGCAGCAGAAGGGCAAAGGGGACAAGGGCAAGGGCAGGGGCGAGAGCACTCCTCGCACAAGCCAATCCCGACGAGGAGATGCCAGCTGGGGCCCGAGTTCGGGCAGGACACCACGATGGAGCCGTGATGTGCCCCCACCTTGGAGGCAGGACGAAGGCGGCGAAACCACTGGCACGGCTCGGCCAATGACGGTCTACGCGGTGGTTCCTCCTACCTCCTCACCGACAGTTCCGGAGCCTAGAACGCCGTCTCCGCCGCCTTCACCGCCCCTAACACCGCCCCTGACGCCAACAGAGCTGCTCCCTTCGCCATCGGCGCCGTGCACTCCCCCGGAGCTTCTTGCGCCGATGACACCGCCTCCATCAGAACTTCTACGGCTACCAACATTACCACCAAAGCCCAAGGTTCGTGCGAGGGACAA